TTAAGAGAATATGTAACAATAAGAAGTTTAGCCAGGACTCTTTTGGTTGCAATTCAAAGAAATTAACCCAATTAGCTTAAGGAAAAAAAGAGAGGGATTTAATTGTTAGCAAAACAGAACAGCTCAGAAGTAAAGCTAGCGCCAGGCATGCTGGATGTAAGGCCCTTTCAGTTGTCTTCAGAACTTATCGATTTCTTCCTTCATCTCTCAGCTCTGCTTTCCTCTGAAAGAGCTCTGGTCTCAGGCAGGTGTTCTCCACATGGTATCCCTGGAAGCTTCGGCCTCAGAGTCCAACAGTTGACTGACAGCCAGAATTCACTCTGGCCTGGTGTTGGTTACATGTCCTGTGGCAAGGGAATGTGGTGTTCTCGTTGCTCTGACCTGGGCCACAGGTCACTTGTCCAGCCCCCAAAAAACTTGTACTGACAGTGGGAGAATGAAAAGATAAAATTAATTATAGAATTGAACCAAACCTATTTGTGTGATATTAGAAGTATAGCACTCTGACCCCTAGTGGTTAGATAGTGTAGAGAAAATTCAGTACTAGTCCAAAAACAACGGAAGGTTAATTTGTTTCACATTATGTTTTTATATGATCTTTCATTAGTTTACTTAAGAACATCAGTGTTCTTCCCTTTTATTCACTATGTTGACGCATCCATCCATTTTGGTCATATTTTCCTTTGACGTAGGTCTAGTATTTCTTCTCCCCTACCCTGCCCCCTTCCGTCTCTAGTGTCACCATCTTTCTTCTTGGGTTCATCCAACACCTGAAAAACTGCTTTAGTTGTGTAATGTCCAGCTGTCCCCTTTATTCTGACATCTACCTTATTAAATACAATCAAAATCCCTGAATCTAGCATTAATATTCACGTGTCCCTGGCCCTTGTTGCTTAAGAAATTAAGAGTTGGATTTTTGTCACGTGCAACGGAAAGCTAATATAAATAACAATATATTTGCCTCATGTGGTGACCTACTGAATTTTAAAAATTAAGAGTTCACATGTTTCATATCACTTATATAAGAAATAGCGGAATCCATTTTAAATCTCATTTCACTAAATTTGTCTAGTCTTCTGTATAGAGAGTTTCATGTGCATTGCTTCTCACTTTTCAAGAGTGAATTAAACACTTTTTTTCTCATAAAAAAGATACTAATTGGCACAAATTTATTAGTACAATTGCTAATTGCTCAGATCATAAGCTAAATCTAAAGTATGTGTTCCTAAATATTTATAATTTTCATATTTTATTCTTTCTTGATTAGTCACTGAAATAGTAAGAATTGTCTGAATCCATTATTGCCCACATTTCTCTTCAATTTTCACTGAGAAGACTAACATAAAAAATGGAATCCATCACTCTGAAGGTGTATTGATTTTACTCCCCTTTTCCTTTATCAGTATGCGCTTTTTTCTCTCCAATGTTTTTTTCTACTCGAAGTTCTGCATTATTGTTTTTTTTTCTGAAGTATTCATATAGAGTTGTAAAAAACAGCTGAAGTCAGATTGCCTAAGCTTCAGTTTTCTTGTCCGTTAAAGAAGGATGACAAGACAATAATAGTACTCTTGATTTATAGAGTTACTCAGAGGATTATTTGTGGTTATTGGCACACATTTATGAGTGCTTCAAAATCTTAGCTTTTACTATTATTTTATGGGTTCACTGCATTTTTTTTTTTAAAGTGAGAAAGCAGGATTTATTGAGAGGATGGAAACGCTCCCACAGTGGGAAGAGACCCGAAGGAGTTGCACTTACTGCATTTTTAATGTTCTTGGTATATACAAATTGGTATGTCTACTACCAAAAAGTGTTTAAAATTATATTGTAGGCTGAAAAAACAGTAACAAGATAGGTTGTCTCAGTCAGGCACAGTGGCTCACTCCTGTAATCCCAGCAGTTTTGGAGGCTGAGTTGAGAGGATTGCCTAAGCCCAGGAGTTCAAGACCAGCCTGGGCAAGAGGGTGAGACCTCGTTTCCACAATAAAATAAAAAAATTAACCTGGCGTGGTGGCACATGCCTGGAGTCCCAGCTACTCAGGAGGCTGAGGCAGAAGGATTGCCTGAGCCCAGCACGTCAGGGCTGTGGTGACTATATGTGTGCCACTGCACTCTAGCCTGGGCAACAGAGTGAGATGCCGACTCAAAAAAAAAAGATAGGTTGTCTATTTTTAATGAAGCTTAAAAATCTCATTTGAGAAACAAAACATACATATTAAAAATGTATAAACAAAACGTGGAATATACATACAATGGAATATTATTCTGCTTTAAAAAGGAAGGAAATTATCACAAACATAACAACATGGATGAACCTCAAAGACGTTATACTAGTGAAATAAGCCAATCACAAAAGGGCAAAGTTTTATGATTCCACTTATGTGAAGTACCCAAAGTACTCAAATTCATAGAGACAGAAAGATGTCGGAGAGTAGCAAAGGGGAACAAAGTTTTATTTTGAAAATATCAAAAAATTCTGGAGCTGGATGGTGGTGATGTTTGCATAAAAACAAATATACTTAATACCACTAAACTGTATACTTAAAAAGAGCTAAAGTGGTAAATTTTATGTTACGTCTACTTACCACAATGAAAAAAGATTTAAAATTTAAATATTACTATAAAGTTAAATTGTAGTTCAATTTAATTGTTTAATAATATTGTTACAACAGTGTAATAGGTAAACTATAAATGATCATGTGTCATTTAATTTTATTGCTACAATGTGTCTATTTTTTGAATAAATAACACAACTACATGGTACAAAAATAAAAGGTACAAAACAACACATAGGGAAGAATAAATATCCCTTGAGCTACCCAGTTCCTAGAGACAACCCATTACTAGTTAGTTACACACAACAGAGATTATGTATGTGTATACACACACACACACACACACACACACACACACACACACACACATATTTACTCCAATTGCTATATACAACACTGTATATACTATTTGGAACTTGCTTTTTCTCATTAGGAATATATCTTGGATAGCACATTACAAGCAAACTTCATTCTTTTTCACTACACAAACACTGTACAAATACTATAAATATTTTAAACCAATTTCCTATTGAGGAGCTGGAGAGGGTTTTCAGTCTTTGCCAAGCTTCAAAAAATACTCTGGAACATAGGTCGTTATGTGTTTTTCTGCAAGACAAGTTCCTAGAGGTGGCATTGGCTTTCAAATGATGTGGACTACAAGTGCCCACCTTCACTGAGGAAGTATTTGTGTTAGTAGTTTTAGCCAAAAACTTAGAAACATCCATATATCCTCTTTACCTCCCTTCCCATTCCTCACAGTTAACAACTCAATTTAATCTTTCACTACTTTTTCCACATCTACACTACTGTCCTCAAACCCATACTCCTGAGAAAATAGTCTGCTCAGACTTTCATGCTGGCCAATACGTGCATCCAGGATTTGGTATAACGTCCTTGTTTTAGCATACAAGGCTAACTTTTATCTGATCCCTGCAGTTCCCCTCTCTGGTAGACCTCTCCCTGTTTCACTATCTTTGCTTTTACACTATAGAATAATTCCCTGTTTCAGGTCTCCATGTGTTTGTTCTCACTGTCTCCCTAGCCTGGAAGACCTACATCTATTTCCCTTACTTAACCTCTGTGCCCCTGTGCATCTTTCATAGTGATTGCTCCTCTCTACTGAAACAATTTCCTTTAAGTAGCCTGCAGTTGCAGTAGGGAATACCCCTTTTCTTTTTTTTTTAAAGCTCCCTCATCTAGCACAGTGCTTATGGTTGTGGAGTACATAGTCAATCAAATTTCTTTAACTGAACTCAACTAGATCTTGGGGAAAAGGGTGAACTCATTCATTAATTCATTCAACAAATGTTTATTGAGCGGCTATTAGGTACAAGATTATGTGCCAGACAGTGGGATTTACAACTAAGAAGATAACTCAGGATCTACTTTTGGTTTAGTGAAAGAGATGGGGCAACATAAACATACAATTTTAATTCAGCCAGGTAAGGACTGCGGTGGATCCCAGGTCATAGTTCAGATTATTTTATGAATATAAAGAAACAGAGAATAGGGTGGGATTAAAAAAAAAAAAAGATGGGGTCTTGCTATGTTGCCCCAGCTATTCTCAAATTCCCGAGCTCAAGCAATCCTCTCACCTCAGTCTCCTGAATAGATGTGTGACATTTTAATTAGAGGAAATTGTACTAAGAAAAGCATTTGCAAAATAAGCATTTGCAAAATAACTGCCCCAAATCACTGTGACACCCAAAGTCAGCCATAAAACTCATGATTTCTGACTCCAATTTATGGTCTGTTACTTACATTTTGAAAAAGTGTGGAGTTGTTCTTCTGGTAAACAGATAGTCAAATACAGAGCCTTGGGTAATGAATAATAAAGTGAGATAACATATGTAAAGCAAGCAGGTCAGAATCAGTATACTCTGTAAAAGTTCTTTTTCCTCCATAGATGTCTGCTAAACTGCAGTCTAAGCATTCCAAACCAAAAACCAAAACCCGGAAACACTTATTTGGTATTAAATGACCTATATTCAATGAAATCCACAACCTGTTCATTTCTCTAGCCTCTTCTCTCTCTCTTTATATTAGAGAGCTCTTTTTATAAAAGGATGAGGTTAGTTAAATGTGGTGAAAAGAGCAAGTTATTTGCGAGTCAGACCGAATAGGATCCACCTCGGGAAGTAGTCACTACTAGCAGAGTAACCTGAGGCAAGTACTTAAACTTTTGTAAACTGGGAATAATAATAAATAAATAGTGAGTTAATGTTTATGCAAAGTGCTTGGCACAGCGTCTGATACACAATAAGAGCTCAGTAGAAGTTAGCCATTAAGCGATTCTAAGAACTCGAGGACTTGGGGGTGTTATTTTCGTCCTTGGAAGCAAAGGAACTTGAAGTGTAATCATTACTAAATTAAGTTAAACCAGAACGCGCATTTTTAGCAATGATGTAATTTGACCATTCCGGGGCACCGTCGCCGAGCATGCGTAAATAAACGTGGCGGGACGTATGTGTCATGGCGCGCTCCATCCAAAGGCTGTGCGGTTTCCGGAGAGTGGCGTGTTGATTCCCTCACTTTGGACTGGTTTTTTTTTCCCGATTGCAGGGTAAGGGTGGCGTGCAATAGGTCAGTGTGGGGCGGCGTGTGGCTAGAGCTTTTTTTTTTTTTTTCCCCCCTGGATGGCGAAGCCTCGCTGCAGTTTGAGTCTCTCTCGGGTTGTTGGTTAGTGTGTTTCGCAGTTAAAAGGCGACTGGCCGGCCCGGATGGGGAATTGAGAGGCAGATAGGGCTGCCAGGAGTGAGGACGGGGTTTTCGGCCTCAGGTGCTGCTGGGCTGTTAGGCGTATTTAAGGGACTTTGTGCCCTGTTGTTGCGTGTAACTTCGTTTGTCTCCCTCTTTCTGCGTTAGTGAATTTGTAGACGTGTCAAGGCTTTCGCGTTATTTAGCTCTCACACAGCAGTGTCTTCATACGAATTTAAACTGAGGTTGGCCAGAGGAGCCCGTGTTTTGCTTTTTCTCTTTTTGCTTTCCTTTACTCATAAAACCTTTCTCTGAATTTCAGGACGACACGTGTCTTTCGGGGGGGAAGGCGATCCTCATCGCCCTCTTTCTGTTTTGTTGGTTACTCGCACTATGCAGACTTGTAATGTTGGACAGCAGTTTATCCTGTGGCCAGACACTAAATCACAGTCATGGCAGATGTCAAGACACCTGTCGTAATCAGAAATAAGTTGGAAGTAGTAGGGAACATCGTTGACTCTGCTGTGTAAAGTGGTCTTTATGGAGTCTAATTCTTTTTAGGTGGTTTAAAAAAGTATTTACAGTGGTTTTGTGAACTTGTTGATGACCTACTTTTTCTAATCAATTCTTATTTTCCAGACTTATCTTTCAAGAGGACTTTAATTGCAGATAATCAAGGTACTGACTTATTTTAAACATTTTATGTTTGAGGGGCATGGTGCACATTAGAATATGGAGAAAGGTAGCCTAATTTCTTAGCCATTTGCCATCATCATTTCTTGGAAACACTGTCATTACCATACCACTAAATCCAAGAGACATTTTCACTTATTTTCTTTAACTTTTCATTTTCGTTCAGCACACTGACCGTGTCTACCTCCTTGACATGCTCTCTTCCTTTGTCTTCTACGGCCTACAGATTTTTTGCTTTTCTGGTGGCTGCTGCTTGGTCTCCATTTTAGGCTGGTTCTCCTGAGAGTTCCTCAAGGCTTAGTCCTTTCTGCTTCGGTTCTCTTTTTCTTTCCCTCTTGGTGATCGAATCCACATACTTGCCAACAATTATTTGTTTTGATTGTAGCCGACCTAGGCGGTGTGAAATGGCATACTGTTGTGGTTTTAATTTGCATTTCTCTGGTGGCAAATGATGGTGACATTTTTTATCTGCCATTTGTATGGAGACATGTCTATTCAAATCCTTTACCCATATTTAACATTTTTAAAAAATTGTTGAGTTGTAAGGGTTCTTTATATATTCTGCTACTAGGCTCTTATAAGATAATTTGCCAATATTTATTCCTGTTGTATGGGTTGTCTTTTCACTTTTTTGATGTGTCTTTGAAGCATAAAAAATTTAATTTTGATGAAGTTTAATCTGTTTTTATTTTGTTACTTGTGCTTTTAGTGTTTTAGCTAAGAAACCAGTGCCTACTCTAATATCATAAAGATTCATGCCTATATTTTTTTCTAAGGGTTTCATAGTGTTAGCTTCTAGATTTAGATCTATAATCCATTTTGAATTTTTGCATATGATGTGAGCTAGGGCTTTCACATCTTTCTTTGCATGTTGCTATCCAGTTGTCTCACCACCATTTGTTGAAAAGACTATTTCCCCATTAAATTGTCTTGACATCCTTGCTGAAAGTCAGCTGACCAGGTAATATATATTGATATGAAAGAATAACTTTGGAACAGTTATTGTCAAACTTTAATGCATATCAAAGTCATCTGGAGGGCCTGTTAAATATTGCTAGGTTTTATTCAAAATCTCTGTTTCAATATGTCTGGAGTGGGGCTCAAGAATTTTCATTTCTAACAAGTTTCTCATGATGCTTATCTAGCTGATGGTGGAAACCACACTGAAAGCCACTAATCTAGGACTTTGGTTTGTGGCTATGGCTATGCACATGAGAATTAGTGGAAAGTTTTTAAAAAATACTGATGCCAGCCTCCATTCCCAGAGATTGATTCAACTGGCCTGGGGCTCAGTTGTTGGTAATTTTCAGAAGTTCATCAGGTGGATAGAATGATTGTTCAACATTGAGAACACTACTGTAGGAGAATAGTAGTTCTCAGGAATGGTTAGTGTAATCACCTGGACAGTTTCTAAGTTCACCTGCCTCGGTTCTGCTCTTGGATTCTAATTCAATATGGAACTTGGGGATTTGATACTCTAAAAACTCCGCTGATAAGTCACCTATGTAAGTAACCTCTGCTCTAGGATATTGTATCCTTTCTTCTTTTTATCATTTTCAGTATTTCTCTTTTCATTCACTCTATTTTTATTCCCTTTCCTATACCTTTGAGAAAAAATATAATATCCTATTGCTCCATTTAACTATTATTTTGCTTTTTTTTTATTCTCAAACTTTCATTTCCGTATTATTAAAAAAATTTTGAAGGCAAAACAGTTTCCTCTACCAGTTAGTTTGAAGTAAAAACTTTAGCTTATTAATAGTGATGAGTGATTTTGTTTAGGTGCTTATGATATACAGCCAGGTTTAGGAACTTCTGCATTATATTATCTTTATATCTTTTGCCTTTCTAGAATGCATTTCTTAAAATGGAATTGCTGACTTGAAGGGTATACATGTATTAAAGTTTGATATGTATTGTCAGACTGCTCTCCAGAAAGGGTATACCAGTTTCACCATGTGTTCAGCTAACAAGGATTTTGTTAGCTTTTTAAATCAGTGAGGTAGATGAAAAATAACTCATTGTTTAATGCTTGTTATTAGCGTGATTGTGCATTTGTTCCTATTTTTTGTGTGTGGCTATTTATGTTTCTTAAGTTAATTGCCTGTTTTTCCTTTGCCCATTATTTTCTAGGATATGTTTACTTCTTTAGTGTCACATTAGACTCCTGTATTGGTTTTGCTTTGCCAGTGAAGCAGAGTCATAGTGGGAAGAGCATAGTATGGAGGGGAATAGTAGGTTCCAGTACTAGCTCCATCAGGGTACAAATCCTTTCATGTCTATGGACTCCAGTTCTGTAAAATAGAAGCTTAGCAAAGTTCTCTGCTTCCCTAATTCTAATGATATGGTATGTCTGCTGCGGTTGCCTCCTTTCATCTCTCTTCTTACATTCTGTTTCTTTTCAGTGGATCCACTTGTGTAATGGATGTGAAAATTGTGTACTTTTAAAAAATATGCTTTTAATATGTCATTTAATTATAGTTCTTCAGTTTTTTTCGTAACATTTGAAGGCACTACCTGGTCTTAGCCTTTCTTGCTTAATTATTTCATAGAATAACAATGATAGAAGAAATTCTAGGGATTAGGCATTTACTTCAACTTCCCACCCAATGTAAGAATTTCCTCTTATGTAATAAAAGATTAGCTGCACTGGACTTAAACAAGCATTTTATTTATTCATTGAGACAGTAAATATTGTGTGTCTGCTATGTGCTATGCATTGTTAGAGGTGTTGTAGAGATAGGTGTGAAATAGAGATGAAGCTTTTGTGCTTACAAAGCTTACATTATAATGAGAAAGACACTTGCATTTATATATGGAGTCTGACAATTAAGTTTGTGAACTCATCCTAGAAAAAGTGCTACATACCTCATTGCTAAATATCACTATGGTCACCTTCAAAGTACTCCCCTTGGGAAGCTATGCACTGACGCCAGTGCCTAGTTCACCTGTCAAAGCAGTTTTGAAACTCTTTTTCTGAAATGACTGTCAGAATTGTTGTCATATTACCCTTTCTGTCCTGAATGTCATCAAAGTGTCTTCCTTTAAATATTTCCTTTATCTCTGGGTAGAGAAAAAAAATCATTGGGGGCCAGATCAGATGAGTAGAGAGGGTGTTCCAATAGTTACTTGTTTACTGGCTAAAAACTCCTTCACAGACAGTGCTGTATGAGCTGGTGCCTTGTGATGCAAGAGCTCCTTTGGGACCGTTTTTGTATACACCTTTCTCATGCCAAGATTTTCAGTTAAGAGTTTCCTGACTGTTTCTCTATTGACGTTTATGTGGTCTGGTATGCTTCTCAGAATCAGCTGAGGATTTTGACGCAAAATTGGACAAATTTTTGCAGTGTTTTCATCAGTTCTGCTCATTAGTGGTCATCCTAACCTCTCTTCATCAGTGACTCTTTCCTCCCATAAAAACATTTAATCCATGTGTACACTGCCATTTTCTTCATGGCATTATCCCTGTAATCTTGGACTAACATGTTCCTGATGTCACTTCCACTCTTGCCAAGTTTAACAAGAAATTTAATGTTTGTTCATTGCTCTAATTCAAGCTCTGACATTCTCTTAACAGCACACAAAAACATGCAACAACAATAATGAATGCCACTCAGCAAGACACCATCACACATCAACACTAACACAGTAGCGAGACACTTATATACCAAAATTCTGAAACCTTACGATGGGCAACGTAAGTACACGGTGGCAAGTTTGCAAACTTATGGATTTAGAGTCTATCATACTCAGTGATCTATCATAGAAACAAAGAACAGAGTACCATATGTTCTCACTCATAAGTGAACCTTGAACAATTATCATAATACTATAAGAAAAGGATTGGTGGTAGTGGGCAACTGCCAGGGGAGTGGGGGTGGGATTGGCAGTTGAGGGAAACTGCCAGGGGATGGAGGGGCATACCTCATCAACAAGGGTACCTGCATAATGAACGTTTGTATACCTAACCCTGAATTGTACCCTACATCTTTAAAAGAAAAAAGAAAAGAAAAGAAAAATTGTCAGACCTTGTATATGGTATCAGGTAGTGAAGGAAAATGAAGAAAAGCAGGGTTAGGGGTTAGAGAGCGTGTGTGGGGATGATTGGGCAGTGTGGTTATATTAGATAGGGAGGTGAGAAAAGCCCTCTCTGAGGAAGTTGGTGTTACTTGAGTGAAGAAATGGGCAGCAAGACATGCACATACCTGGGGACTGATATTCTTGCAGAGGAGTAGCAAATGTGAAGACCCCTGAGTCAGGAACTAGTTTGGCATACTCAAAATATCTATATCCATATCTGGTTAGACTATGTAGTCTGTATTAAAAAAATATTGACTGTAATTCCAGCACTTTGGTAGGCTGAGGCGAGAGGATTGCCTGAGCTTAGGGGTTTGAGACCAGCCTGGGCAACTTGGTGAGACCTCGTCTGTACGATATATTAAAAAATAAGCTGGGCATGGTAGTGCCCAACTATCATTCCAGGTACTTGGAAGACTGAGGCAGAAGGATCGCCTGAGCCTAGCAGGTTGAGGCTGCAGTGACTGTGAGCATGTCACTGCACTTCAGCCTGGATGACAAAATGTGACTCCAACTAAAAAAAAAAAAATTTTGGCCGGACTCGGTGTCTCAGCCTGTAATCCCGCACTTTGGGAGGCCGAGGTGAGTGAATTGTCTGACCCCGCGGGTTCGGGACCCGCCCGGGCAACTTGGCGAGACCTCATCTCTACAATAAATCAAAAAACTAGCCAGGCATGGTAGTGTACACCTGTAGTTCCAGATACTTGGAAGACTGAGGCGGAAGGATTGCTGAAGCCCAGCAGTTTGAGGCTGCGGTGGCTGGGAGCGGCCGCTGCACTCCAGTCTGGGCAACAGAGAGACTCCAACTCAAAAAAAAAAAAACAACAAAATTTTTTTTTGAGATCTTGGAATGTGCTTGACATAGTTCCAGACACATGGGATAAAGCAGTGAACAAAGTACACAGAAA